TAGAAGCAAAAAAAAAAAAAAAAAAAAAAAAGAAGAATCATCCTAGGCTGGCCCAACAAGAAACACTAAAGTAAAGAAAAGAAATTAGGGCATACTGACAGAGAGTTAAGGAGAAGCAGAAACCCATCAATCCTGAAAACAGTAGAACAAGAGGTGCAAATTAACGAGAGATGAAAAAGAAGAAAAGACTCCAAAAACAGGAATCAAGACTGAAAAAAAAAACAAAAAAAAAAAAAAAAACAGCAGTTAAAGTACTGCTGTTATATCTTTAGTTTGACATTTTTTAGACTTTTGGCAAAAATAACTGGTAAACAATATGATATTTCAGTTACAAAAGCATCAGTTACTTGAATGTGTAGTGTCCGCACCCCCAGATCATAGTCTAAGGGGCGTTCTGTTAATTTGAGCGTAGCACAAAAAGTAATTAATCTTGTGCTCTAAAAATTGTAGATATCATAGTTAAGATGTTATTCTTTTTATCTGTTACAAAATTAAACAAATGCATTAGAGTTCATTTATGAGTGCATGGATTGAGAGGAGTCGCCGAGGCTATTTTGCTGTCAACATTGTTATCATACACAACAGAACAGAATCAAATAGATGTAGGTTGAAAATGTCATTTTATTGACATTTGCACTTTGATTAATGTTCAAAGTACGAATGAAAAATACTGAGCGTTAGATATTAATCTATGAATGACAATCATGCATGTTATATAATTTTCAAGCTTAAAGATATTATTTACATTTCAGCAAAGATGGAGGGAAAAAGGGCCCACACATGGCAATATGTTTTAGATAAATTTTATGTCCAAAATTCGGCCGAGGCTGAGAGCGAGCTGCGCAACCCCTACCCTTCAGGAAGGGGACGTAGGTTTCCTCAATGCTCTGACAGCCCACTAATAGAGTTGTCTCTCTTGGCCTTATAACTGCCATATATGCCCTATGCTAAGGTTATGCCCAATATGTTGACTTAAACAAAATGAGAACTGCTAACCCATAGAGGCTTACCTATATGTCAAATGTTTCTGAACATAAATACCATACATATAATAATGATACATAGAATTAATAATTGTTTTGCAGTGTTAATTAATCAGGGAACATTAGGGAGGGACGGGATTGGGTTTGAGAAACTTTATGAAATTCACTAAAAACTCTTCTCTCCTGAGCATGTACTGCTAGGTTGAAAATTTCTAAGGAAGTGAGAGAGAGTGTTCTTTGTTTTTGGTGAAGCTGAACTCTATTTTTCATTCGTACTTTGAACATTAATCAAAGTGCAAATGTCAATAAAATGACATTTTCACCTCTTTATGGTACACTTGGGTTTTGCTTGATATTCCTTGTGGTACTGATAAACTTCGAGAAACTTTGAGAAACTTTATGAAATTCACTAAAAACTCTTCTCTCCTCAGCATGTACGGCTAGGCTGAAAATTTTAAGGAAGTGAGAGAGAGTTTTCCTTGTTCTTTGGTGAAGCTGAACTCCTTATGATTCTGATTGGCTGATCATAATGAGACTAGGTTGTACTGTCCAATCAGGTTTTGCTATACTGGTATCTGACCAGTGTCACTTGGTAGTAATTAACTTAACAGCGTGAAATACAAAACGGAGACATCCTGTCTGTAATTAGGGAAGGAACATCTGGAGCTTATCTTTCTATCAACCTATCTTAGACCCTGGGAGTTTCCCTGGGCATCTTACATCACATTAATACCCTCATCACACATAAATCCCTTTATTGTGACCAATAAATTATATTTTTCTCTCAATGTGACCCCTATTTTGTACCCCTGATCGTGAAACAGCCGTCTAGATTTTGACCCACTTGGCTGAAACTAACCCTAACCATTATATATTATAACTATATGGAGAGCGGTCTTTCTGATACACGGACCCTCAGTTTCGTGACACTGGATTTAATCCAAAAATTGCAAAAAATCCTCCCGCTTCCCTATTTCAGAGTGCAGGAAAATTGTCAGAATCAGTCGACCAAATCTGGGAAGCAGAAAAAAATGAGATTCTATCTTCTCTTGAAAACATGGGTGAGCACGTGATTGAATGTCTTAAGCCACTTGGGGAATTGCTGGATTTAGGACACAAAACAAGAGGGAGAAAAACTCAGTTGGAATCTGATGCCGAATTGAAGAATATCTGCTCTTTGTTATCAAAAGGACTAGGTAAGCATGGTTATCTTAAAAGCGTAAGTGCCAGTTTGACAGAAAGAGAAACAAACATATTCTTAATTGCATACTCCTGTATCAACAGTGTGCAATAAAAATGCTTGCCTTTTATTTTAGGTGACTCGTGGCGTGTACTGGGAAGAGCCCTTAAAGTGAGCAGCCTTTGCCTTGACGACATTGAAGCACACTATAGTCGGTTTGGAACTGAAGAACTTGTCTGGGGAGTTCTTGAAAAGTGGGCTGAGAGGGGAAATCCTACGAAGGAGGGTTTGTTGCAAGCAGTGAAGAGAATTGGTGGAGAAAATATTTTGGGTTAGTATTTAGTTATGTTATTTAAACACGCACACACACGCTCACACACACACACAAGCGCACTCACACGGTCCTTACAATAAGTCTACCCTCTACCAGGGCGACAGGTTAATTTTTCACAGATATGTCTCTAGATAAACAGACAGTCATTTTGCTCTCTGGCTTTTTCCATTTTTCCGTATGTAATTTACCACCCGGGTAGAGGGTGCAATAAGTCTATGTATATTTAAATTCAACCTTTATTTCCATTCATTACCACCTTCTCCATCGTTATGGCACACGCAGTCCACAAAATCCTGAAAGTATATCTATCTGTAGAAATGCATATTCTTAAAAGTATCAATTTTGTACAGGTCCCCCAATGACTGATCACCATCGTGATATTCTCCAAACCTTCCACCCATACATACACATAGAGATTATGGATGTCGAATGGCTCATCCCTTACCTTAGAGGATACAAAATCCTTACTAACTCACAGATTAAGATGATCCGTCAAGGTCACGGGCGGTTTGGGAAGATTGAGAACCTCTTAGATATGCTGCCTTACTTGGGATGCAGGGCCTTTGATGGCTTTGTGAAGGCTTTGGAACAAAGTGGTCATATGCACATTGCCATGAAATTAAGAGGTGAGTTATATACTTCACAGAAATTCTCATTGTTCTTCAGTTTTTTATTTAAATCTTACCGACCATTGATTGTAAAAAAAAAAAAAAAAAAAAAAAGGAAGGATTGTAATATGTAAAAAGATGACGGACCTTGGTGTACACGTAGTAGGCTTGAAAAGGGGTCAATCGTTCATTTTATAGTACAAATGTCTAACTTGGCATGAATGTTCCTCGGGCCAAAGTGAATTTTCTTTCCATAGAGACACGCTCTATCGATACATAAATTAACATAATTAGAATAAATTAAGTGAATTAGGTAAATTTAGTACAAAGTATAATATTTACATCAGTTTTTTGCCTTAAAACATGTATAGATTATCAAACCTGTTTAAGTTAGGGACAAGCAGCCCATTTTTGACATTATGGGAACAATTAGCGGCCATTTTGTGCCTCAAATTCAAGATGGCCGCCATCCACCCATTTTAAGTGGACATAATTTTGCTATTTTATGTTGAATATTGAAGCGTTTGGCGTACAAATACGTGTAATATATCGATTCTTACTATTTACAGGATGCAAATGTCATTTTTGATATAGCTGTGGTGATAGAAGGGAAGGTGATTTAAAGGGATAAAGTGGGTGTTATGAGTAACAATCAAGATATACGGTATGTCTGTGAAAGTTGCAAAACCATGGATATTGATAACCCCCATTCGAATATATCTCGATGCATTTTTTTTGTTATATACCATTGATACTGACCTAAATTATGAACAAGAAATTCATTTTCAGCATTATGAGGGCTGTTGATAGCCACTTTGTCCCTCAAATGCAAGATGGCCACCAGATGTCATTTTAAAATCAGGCATAATTCATCATTTTGAAACTATTACACCTTCATAAGCGTGTAATAGGTTGCTTCTTATTATTTCCTGTTGCAGAAAACATTGTAGAATTATCCGTCCCATGAAATGTAAGTAGGGACTATTATAACCCCCCAAAATCAATATAGGGATCAGTCGTCACATGGACCTACAGTTTGTATGTACAATTAGTAGTCTAATTAGTACAAACATACATTTCTTAACATTTAAAGGGTTCTTCCTGAACTACAAAACAAGTATCAGTAAATAAAATTGCCGAAAATTGTTAGCCATTATTTTGATCTAAACCAAGTTGGTTGCATGCCGCTGTTTTAGAAAATTGGTGTAATTTACGATGCTTAAATGTAGGAACCTCATACGCTTGCAATGCATCGATTGTACATCAGTTAATACATATACATCAATTGATACTATTCTGGTAGCACTATAGTAATTTCCGGTCCTGATTTGATGACAGAAGATAATTTTAATTATTAAAATAGGTCATATAAGTTTTAAAGTAAATTCCAAGACGAGTTTTGTTGAGTATGTTACAAAAACGTGGATCCCAAACAATATGCTAAAACATATTATTATTAATCAGATCTATTAAGTGGCCATCCTCTGAAAGATACTAAATAATTTAAAGGTTACCCCCAAGTATATATAAATACCTCTGTAATGATATTACATTTTAGTCCAGAAGATTAAAAGGGTGATATATGATGCGTCGTCTTATAACTTCATGGAACTTGGCAAGTATGTGAATTTGGCCTGAGAGAAATAAGCAAATGGCTTTTATAAATAGCTCGAGATCTTATCTGCAAAATCACCCAGCAGCATTCCGAAAAGCAACATGCATGATCAGCTTTAGTAGTCCAATAAGATAACAGCCAACGAGAACTGTGTTGTCTGTGCCCTATGAAGAACAGACATTAACAATATATTAAAATTCAGTTTCCAGGGAAACATTTAACAGCAAAACATTTCTGAGCCATGGCTTGAAGTCAGAGAGAAATCCTAAAAATCCCCCTTGACCAAACAGAAGAAGAACTCTATTACCATAAACTGTGTCATTAAATGCATACCCGGTTTTCTAATGAAGCAAGTTTCCTCCTTCATGGTGTTGATGGCAGACATTGTGTTGGTAGCTCTTACTCACTATGGTGGTTTGAACTACCATTAACTATGGTGTCAAGGGAACTTGGTGATCTTCATGGAAATGTAAATGCTGGTCTCTGCAGGCAAGTTCCTACCACAAAAGATGGTGCCATAAACTGGTGCAGTTTTGCCTTTTTTTTCAAAAATGACAATTCCCACTTCACTGTGCCCATGCAACAATTTTTTTTCAATATGCAAGACATTGAGAAACTGGACTGAAATGTTTGGTCTTCTGATATGAATCCCAAAGAAACTTTCATGAAACTGTTGACCATGGTAGACTGATGTATAGCATTGGATGGGCTGAGACCGGTTCTTGCCAAAGAGTTTGTTGGTCTTAGCCAAAGATGCAACAGCAAACGGGTAATGTCAGTATCCTGAAGGGCAAATGGTGTCGTCCAACTTTGTAACAGCTGCACAAGAGCCTAACTGTGCTAGGATACCTTATTGAATACCTTTAACTTTGGGTGACTTGCTTCACCAAATGCTTCTTACGACAGACTACACAAAAATGGGTAACAGAAGACGCATCACTACAGAGACAGTGACCAAGATTAACTAGACCAGTGTTCTTTCCTGTGTTCACCTGCTTTGGCTATGATTATGGGCGGTCTAACTATACCACACAAGACGACTGAACGACTTTCACAAAAATTACTGCTAAAAAGAAAAAAAGAAGAACCTATCATGTTAAGACATAAAGTTGCAAGATAAAATCCCAAACACTCATAATAATAATAATAATAATAATAATAATAATAATAATATTCATTAATGGTCTAAAATCCATATATAAAATGTTCAGTAGACTAAAATGTAATTAAATTGATAAGATATTAAAAAAAAAAAACTGTACATCGTAAAAGACAACAGCCAGTCAAATCAATTGTAAAACTTTTTGAAGATACAAGTTTTTAATTCTTTTTTTTTAATTGTCCTCAGATGCTTGTTTATAAATAAATAGGGAGATCTTTCCACTCAATTGGCTCATAGATAGCAGAGCAACATCACCGTGCGCTGTTAATTTGGAATTGCAAGGCGTTAATAAAAGCTGATCGAATGATCTTAAAGCGCGTTTTGGAACATAGCGTTGAACTAGTTTTTGTAAATACGGGGGTGCTGATTGGTAAAAAATTGCATGCATAAAAGTTACTTTTTTGAATAAAATGCGTGCTCTGACTTGGAGCCAGTGTAACTGCTTTAAAATGGGTGTGATGTGTTCCTTTCCGTCATTTATTTTCAGTTTGTTGTTGATGAGCCACACAGTTGGTAATCTTATTCATAGACGGTTTAGGGTTCTGTATGTCACAGCAGGTATAGATAGGTATCATCAGCGTACATGTGGTATCCAAGTTTGTGATGACATAAGATGGCACCGAGTGGCAGGGTATAAATGCAAAACAAAAGTGGCCCAAAGACACTGCCTTGAGGCACCCCAAAAACAAGTTGTGAAAGATCGCAAAGAATGCCATTTACTGAAATTTGCTGTGACCTCCCACTGAGGAATGATCGAAGAAACGCAATGGCTTTATCCCTGACATCAACACTATCCCCAAGAAAAGTTAATAGTGTACTGTGATCAACGGTATCGAAGGCGGCTGAAAGGTCTAGTAATATAAGTGGCATAGCACATTTGGAGTTGTTGTCAATGCCCATGGGTAGATCGTTTTAATCCTCAGGAGAACTGACTCTGTGCTGTGTTTTGACTTATAGGCGATTGCATTTCCTCAACAAGGTTGTTATTCTCTAGGTGGTCGAACAATCTCACCGCAGCTACTCTTTCAATCATCTTAGAAAGGAATGAAAGATTTGATATAGGTCTATAGTTCAGCATAAGGTCGGGATCAAGGTTGTTTTTTTTTAGTAAAGGTCGAACAATTCCAGATTTCAGCACATACGGGAAATTTCTATAAATGAAACAAGTGTTTACGATGTGGGTGATTAGGTCAATTAAAGCTCGCATGATCTGAATAAACAATGGTGTTGGTACGGTTCTAAGATACATTTTGTCTTTTTTGAGTTATTGATGTTAACTGGCAATGGTGACTTTGGTTCTGTGAGAAACCATGAGGTGGAGAGATGTGATGAAAATGTGACAGTTTTTTTTTTCAGATCATTGGGTTTGGCTTAGATGTCACTAACTTCATATGTGAAAAAGTTATTCATGCTATTCGCCAAGTCCTCCAGAGATCTTGCTGCAGGTAGTGTGGCACACATATTCTTGCCTAGGATGGTATTTACATTGTTAAAATTGCCTTGCTGTCACCATTACATTCACGAATCATGCCAGAATAATAGGTCGCCTTATGGTCGCCTTATGATAACAATTTTCTTTGTAGATGTGATTTGATGATGCACAGACAACTTACTTCGACGCCAGGTTTTATCAGCTTTTCTTCTTGCCCTCTTAGCATTGAGAATATCCTCATTCATCTATGGTTTTAAGTCTCTGTTTACCAATGACTTAGTTTGATCAGTTGCAAAACTGTCCAATGCCGTTGTTAGCACACTGTTATAGAGCCTCACACATTCGTCAGGGCCCTTATTCAGAAGACATTTATCTTCCAGCTGGGATAAAACCTCCTCTTGTAGCCGGCCTGTATCAATGTCTTTGAGTTTCCGGTAAGATGCCCTTACCTTTTTTGCAGGAGGTCTGGCACAGCTATGTTCAGTGTTTATAATGTGATGGTCCGAGAGCAATTGACTTACGTCACAAGAATCTACAAGTTGGTCACTCTTTCGGGACATAACGAGGTCTATAGTATGGCCATGTGTATAGGTTAGGGCAGATACATGCAGAATCAAACCAAAAGATCCAATTATTGAGGCAAATTGTTTTGTTTCTGAGTCGATCTTACTCTCCAAGTGTAGGTTAAAATCACCGATGATAAGTAGTTTTGCGCGCAATGGTGCTAGAAGTTCTAGGAGATCAGCAAATTCAGCTAGGAAAGAACATTCGCGAAGCTTATTTGACTTAGATAGGGGTATTCTGTAAATTGCCACTATGCGCAATGTCTCAGACATGGCCGAGGCTAAAACTTCGAGACTGAGTCAATCCTCTTTGGCTGCTGTTTAACCTTGTACCTTGTACCTTGATAAAAATGCTACACCACCACCTCTACGAGTTAGTCGTAGGCATTGATAGCCTGTTGGAATTATTTCTGCTTGAAGATGTTGTTGTAGATCTGGTGTAATCCAAGTTTAGACCATAGATACGATATCAATGTCATATTTCTGGATGTTATCACATATTGCTGCACCTTTATTTCGCACAGATCTACAATTCATTAATGCAAGTTTAACAGATGGAACAAGTGCAGTCACTGTCGATGTCACACGTTTTAAGTTATGAATGTTTGGGCCGGAGCGCGTACTATCAGCATCAACCTGCTTTTTTTGTGTGTTGAATTCAGCAAGCAACGTTTTATCCTGTTGTGAGTCAGCCCTCCTCTGCTTTCCCTACAGTTTTTGTTTATCCTATGACAGGTTATCTTGACCCATACTTGATCAGGTAGTTTGCTACCCCCAGGCTTTAATTTGGTTAGATCATCCCGGGTATAGGATATGAGTGGAACAGGTCTCACAGCAGCACCAAAGCACATAATTGCTTGTCCTGGGGCAGAGTACTGGTATTTGTTGAGACTTGTTGTCAAGTGTATTGGTATAGTGGAATAGTTCTACCTGTTAGTCCCAGTGGATGATTTATATGTAGCAATTCTTGGAGAAAAAGTCACCAGAAATTCTTCAAAAGTAGCAACATGAACCAACAGCCAAGTAATCCACAGAAGTCCTGGATCCTTAGTGAACATTACTGTCTGTATGATGAGTAAAATTAAATTTGACTGGCAGAAATGAGAGCTACAAAATACGCTGGGCTGCTCAATTAGTGGCGCCCCCTATATGGTCAGATGTTTAACCTTGTCAACGACTGAACCATCTTGATGCAGTTATAACATAGCTGGACAGGACATGAAGTTTGCAGAGACTGTTCTACAGGTATACTAACAAACCATCAAGTGAAGCAGCCAAAATAGCACTCTCTTCCAAAAAAAGCATTCACCATTTATATCAATCGGGGAACAAGTTACAAAGGAAGTAATCTGCAAAATCAACGAGACAGCAACAGCAGCGCACGTAGACAAAGGAGGATGATGCAAAAAGCTTCCAGGAAGCATCCTCGTTTCCCAGTTGACAGTGACAGTGATCCTTTCTAGCACGATTTGGATAGACCAGCCATCTCTCTACCGATAGAAATCCACAAGGCGACTACATAGTTTCCATTGTTTCCAGTGGACAAACAAGACATGTACAGCATGTGGCAACTACAGGAACTCACTTAAAACATCTTATGGCCTTTTTTATTATCCACTGTCACCAGATCAACACCAGAAATTAATTATATAACACCAAAATAGTAACAATTGCTTTATTACGATCATATGGAAGTCTAACAGTTCAAAAATGGTAATTTACGCCATGTGTAAAAAAAAAAAAAAAAAAAACGAAAGACTTTATGGATTTGATCACAAGAATAGCTAATAGTAGTCACCATAACGTCAATTCAGCCATTCCGGTCAATTGCACTTGTTTCTAGGTCCACTAGTGCGTCTGATTTAGTCTTAAAGAACAATTCTGATCAATAACAAGCTTACATGGTCTTAAGCCATGTGTAAGACCATTACTGAAGTGACTTCACATTAAGTTACTGTGAAACTGTCTCCCCTCACACGTTCTCCTGTGGTGAGCAGAGGTATCCTCCATTGTGAGGAGATGTATCCCCCATTGTGAGGGGAAGGAATTGCTTGGTCACTTAAGTAGATGTAAGAGTTTTGACTTTAAAAGGATATCCAGTCCATTTTAAGATTTTTGTTGTAATAAGTAAGACCGTGTAAGATCATTTATGATCTAAAATTGCACTTTAAGACCAAATCAAGCGCACTAGTGGTCTGGCAAAACCCTTTTAAAATTATCATATAACATATTTTGCACTAATTAGACTTCAAGACGTATGCAAGCAAATGTGAAGACTTAAGCCTATATTGATGGTAGAGCCTTTGAAATATTTTCTACCTGCATTAAATCTAACATGTGATACCATACATGACTTCTACACCGAAAAATTATAAGAAATGATGTACTGTATGCCTTACCTGTATTTTAAAATTGTGACTGGCGGCCATCCTCGATTTGAATATCAAATGGCTACCAGTTGTCACCAAAGCATTAAGTATGTGTTATTTACATTTAATTAAGCCATTTTGGTCTCTCACACTTGTTTCAATGTCTTTTTAAAATGTATATGATGTCAGTTTTTGGTCACAAATGCCGGCGTAAAGTTTCAAGTAGTATAGATAAGAGAACTAGCAAAAGGCATTGTTAAATTTTACCCGAATATATGCTATATGTCAATGGAGCAGAAAAGTACAGGTAGGTCACGAAAGAAGGTTAACTTTTTTACCAACATTTTAAAAAAAGTAGCAGTCTAAAGCTCTTTTATGGCTGATCGAGTGATTTATTCAGTTTATCCCTTGGCATGTCTTATTTATTTGAGTCATATAAGAAACTAGTAGAAGTGGTTTATGTGATCCAAGCTCCACTGATGCTCGGTTCGTATGTACCTTAAAAATGTTATGAAACATTTTTCTGCTAATTAGACTACACGAGGCATGTAAGTCCATGTGACAACTTAAGCCTACATGTATAATGATTTTGGAGGCTTATAAAGTTTTATCACATTTTATGAAACAGATAATACTTAAAATGTATTCTGCATCAGATAATAATATGAAACGACTTAGAAATGGCGAATTATGCCTAATTTGAAAATTCCTCTTGTGGCCATCTTGCATTTGAGGGAGAAAATGGCCTCAATGGGCTCCATAATGCCAAAATGAGTTTTGTTTCATAATAAAGTCCAATATTGATGGCATATAAAAGAAATTGCATTGAAATATATTTGAATAGGGGTTATCAATATCCATGGTTTTGCAGCGTTCACAGACATATGTAGTCTCTTAAACAGACTCTTTGTCCCTTTAGATCTCCTTCTATCACCAGAACAATATCAAAATGACATTGCACCCTAAAATAGTAGGAATCTATATATATTAAACGTATATGTAGGCCAAACGCCTCAAAAATCAACATAAAATAGCAAAATGATGTCCACTTTAAAAATGGTGGATGGTGGCCATGTTGGATTTGAGCACAATGTGGCCGCCAATTGTTTCTTTAATATTAAAAATGGGTTCCTTGTTTCTAATTAAGTCAAGTTTGATAATCTATACATGTTGTTTATGCCAAAAACTGATGAAAATATGAAATATTATATTTTGATACATCATTGGCATAATTTATGCTAATTATGCTATTATGCATTGATAGAGCGTGTCTCTATGGATACAACCTTTTTTTTTTGGCCCAAGGTACATTCATTACAGGTGAGACGTTTGCACTATAAAATGCAGCGTTTGGCCTATTATTGGTCCTTAAAAAGTCTGCTAATAGTCCATTGAAATATGTCTATGATATCTGTATAATCGTCCCCGTTTGTCTCAATCATCACTGTCATCCTAAAGTCCAATAACAGTTTGAAAGAGTATAATCAAAGTTGTCTAGATAATAAAGATTCCCTTCACTGAATAAACTTTTCCATATATTTATTCTTTAGAAGCTGAGTCAATGGATCCCTGTGTCTTTGAGAATGCCGAGATAGGGGGCGAAACATTGCCTGAAGAATCATTGGAAGAGTCTGCTGTCAAGGAAGTCGATAAAGGTACGCTAAATTTTAAGAGGTATCTTGAAGTGGTGGTGCATGTATATCATTCTTATATCTGTTCGATATGTAGCCCGATGACAAAATAATGCTCTATATAATATGAGATCACAGCGTATTGCTTTATTTGAAAAGCTTTTTTTTAAGATGGAGAACATAATTGTAAGTCTAAGAAAAAAATGGTTTGACCCGGGACTAAATGCACAAAAATTGAAGTATTGTGTTTTTGAGTCTTTTGGTAGCCCATATGATCATACTAAAAATCTAGGAAAATCCAAGTAGTGGAACAGGTATTTTTGGGAAAAATCCACAATGGAAACCAGCACAGAGTAGGTTCAAATTTGCACTAGGTGGTTTCTACAAAAACTCTTTAAAATGGTACAAAATGCATTCAGGGATTGTGTGCCTCTTTTTTTCTAAATAAATCAAATTCAGATAGCATCAAAAAATATAAAATGGCCGCCAAAACTAAAATGGCGGCTACAAATTATCAAGCGTGAAGTACAAAATTGAATAAAAAATAAGCTCAGACGTACACTTTTACCACTTTCTGTTATAGAACTAGATTGGCTAGGACATAAACACTTCAATAAAATGATTTTAAAGGTGCTCTTTATCCAATTCATGCACCAAAATAAACTTGCCTGAGGTAAACGACATATTTTCCTACTTAAAATGTATTGCCAACCTGTCCCTACACTCAATTCAATGTCTTATTCCATTTGAATCTTAGTTATAATTAACTGGCCAGTCAATTAGAACCTAACTGCCTTCACCAAAGAGGGCCTAGGATTCACTCGCAATGGCGTTGCGAGCAATTATGGCTTATGGACAAGGCTAAGAAGATTGTGATCATATGATATGCACTTCAGATGAACTTCTTTTATTGAAATAAAATATGGAGGTCTGCATCACTTGTATAGTCTTGGCCCTTTTAATTAGTTCAGCCTGACGCACTTTCTCCTGTGGAATGACAGCTCAGCCTGAGATGTAATTCTTGTGCAACGAATGTTTGAAATGTTTTCTTCCCTGTCATTTGAATAGAAGGGGGAGCGCAAACAATGGAGAGTCGTATTAATCCCTTCGAAATTCAAACTCACAAACAAAATAGCTTAGGTGGAATAACACAATACTTAAGACGAGTGAACCCCGTGACGCCGGTTTCTGTGGCCCAGCGCGAGCTTGACACCCAGCTGTACCAAGGTGTAATTAACAGCAGGCTACATCAGCAAGAGAGTCACCATTGCTCGTTGCGGCGATATGATTATAGTTTTAAGAGGTAAGAACCCATGCTACCGCGTGCTACTAAACCGCCACCGGTAGCGAACTGTCCTTTTGTACACTAGCTTGGCACGCGCAGCTGATCATGTTTTTAGTGTTGCTAGCAAACTGCTTGTTAAAATTTGTATCAGTCATTTAATTCAATATGAAGTGTTCCATAGTCAAAATTTGAATTTGATTTACATGCATAAGCATCAGCATTGTGCATCAGCATGATCAACAATTCTCCCTGTCTCAAAATTCGTATTGCAATTATGAATGATAATGGTCAGCATTTTTAAGATGAAAGATGCTCCGTTATATAAATTTCTATCCTCGCGACCTGTGTAAAAAAAGAAAAAAAGATTAAAAGTAACAAAGAAAGCAACATTATTTTAAAAAAATTACAGAACAAGCTAAAGTGTAGCCTCAATTACTAAAAAGATTTATTTGATATGGACAATTGGCTTGAACCAGTCTTATTTTATTAACATTGCGAATGACACATTCTCCGTCGTCACTGCTGAATTAACATTATTATTTTACAGCAATAATGTTATTTAACAATTTTATTGTTTAGGCCTGGTTTATGTTTATATAAGAAATGATGGCCATCGTGTTTAACAGTAGATTGCCAGCTTTTGTAAGATCCCCCCTCCGCTTTTAACCGATGTCATTCATCGTTAATTACCCGTGAGACTAGTAAACTGAGCGAAAACAAAAATGGCCTAACCCAGAACTAATTGCAAAAAAATGTAATGATGTTTTTTTTAGAAAGCTAACATATTAAAAATCTAGAAAAATCTAAGTAGTGGAAAATGGTTTTTAGGGCAGTTTTCCAAGATGGCCGCCAATATATTAAGTCTCCATAGGTAAAGGGGGTCTTTAATTTTTAGGAGTATTTTTGCTGGAATAAATGGGGTTAAGAACTTGAAATATATCCAGACTAAGAGACAAAGAGCTTTTCGTTTAAAAGAAAAGCTTTGAAAAGAATTATTCACCAAAGGTTATTGGCTAAGGGTCAAAGGTCAGGCAAAGGTCATTTGTATAGATTTTTACCTGAAATATTGCCTAAAAGTTTGCAATAAATATTTTTGAAGATAGTTTATTGAAACATTTGGTGTTTATTACAATTATTACATCACTCACAACGAATCTTTGAGGTTTTGCTACAAAATATTTATTTTTAGGAAAAATATGAGACAAATTGTGAAAAATCAGATGGATAAAAATTATGTATAAGTGGACAGGGTAGGTAATTCTGAGGACAAGGATTTCTATGTAAATGTCATATTATATACAGAAAACACTTGCTTTTTGCATTTTCTTCTTACACCCATCTTCGTTCCAGTTCAATGCATTTTTCAATATGGCCACCAGAAAGTGCATAAGGTTTTATAAGACATAATTTTTTGAACGTTTTTTCAGTAGGGACTTATTAAAAAACATGTAATGAGGTATTTCAGAAAGTTTAATATCCAAATTTAAACATAATAAAATTCTAGAAAATCCTAAGAAGAGGAAAAAGGTTTTTAAGGCATCTTTTCCAAGATGGCCGCCATTATATTGCGTCACTGTAAGTAAATGGTGTTGTTTAATTAAGATAGTATTGTGCTAGGAATAAATGGAGGTAAAACCTCAAAATACACATAAAGTTAAAGAAAAGGGCCTATTCTTTGAAAAAAGGCTTATTTAATAGGAATTATTCACTAAAGGTCACTGGTTTGAGTCAAAGTTCAGGCAAATACCATTTGTACAGATTTTCCCTAAAGTTTTGCCTAAAATTGCAAATTATGTTTTTGAAGATAGGCAATTGAATTTGTTTGGGTGTTAGATATAATCATTATTTCATTCACAACAACTGAGGTTTGGCTTCAAATATGGCTTTTTAGGAGAAATATGAGTCTAAGTGTGAAAAATCAGACAAATAAGGATTCCGACAGGATAGGACTTCTTTTCATTCTGGGAATAAATATTTCTTTGCTAATATCATAAATATATTATATATGAAAAACACTTGTTTTTGTTTGATTGTTTGTTTGTTTGTTTTGTATTATTTATTATACCCATCTATGTACCTGTTTAAAGTATTTACCAATATGACTGTCAGCAAGAAAATTCATAAAGCTGTCTTCAGTAAATATTTCAAATTGTGTCTGTACCCCCTTTTCTAAATTATATTGATGAATAAGTAATGGGGGTAAAAAGTTGTGCCTTTAACAGTGGCACCAAACACAGTATAAGTCTTTTTCTAAGAGTGCATTCCCATAGATTTTTAGATCAATTTATCCCCGTGGGGAGTCTCACGAGATTGTTGTCAGCCTGACCGGCTTAAATGTCTGTCCTGCTTACTAAAAGCTGTTAGGGGGAAATTAACTTGTGTGTGCGCTCGGCTCTCGGAACCTGACAGCAATTTAGCGGGAACCCCCAAGGAGTAAGATCGATCCAGATAGATTGATCTAAATCTATTGGAACCCAGTCTAAGACAGACTGATATGTTGCATCAATTGGACAAGCAATCATATAATCAGCCTTTTCACTTATTCTTAAATATTTTCATCCCATTGTGCGCTCTGCGAAACGGATGAGTATTTCCCACAACAGAATACGTTTTAAAGCAATTTGTCAGCTCATAACTATGACATGGCGCCCTTTTTTCTGGTTGTTGTTTAAAAATGGACATTAGTTTGTCGAGGTTTAATGCTTAGCTCTTATAACGTTATACTAATAACGTTATATTGAGGTGCATCTAAACAGTAAGATGTCAATTTTATACTTGACTGTTATGCCCGGTGTGGCACGTATGCTTTTTTTACAACAGTGATCTAAAACAGGTCCAAAACAGGTCGCTGGTGTATTTTAATATAGCAAATTCTGTTCGACAGGACGTTTCTACGCAGCAGCCAGACACACAGTTATTGTACAGGCTTGGTTTTAGCTTGTTTGAAACAATCACGTTTTACAATAGATTGCGACCTATAGTAGGACCCCCTCCGCTTTAACCGGTGTCATACCTGTACATTGTTAATTGGCAGTACTTTATATACATGTAGTGTGATCACACTGTCAGTAGTACCCCTGTCTAACGCTGGAGTTAAATTGTCCATGCGCCACTTCTAGATATTTTCTCATATTCTGTAGTTTGTATAAACCTTCTAATTTATTGTTGAATATTATCATCTCATTACCCATTGTGCTCTCTTAGAAACGGGGGATTTAGCAATTTTTCTCATAACTATGACAGGGCGCCCTTTCTTCTCGTTGTTGTTTAAAAAATGGACATTTATTTTGTCGAGGTTTATTGCTTAGCTCTTATCACGTTATATTTGAGTGCATCAAAACGATAAGATGTCAATTTTTTACTTGACTGTTATTGCCCGGTGTCGCACGTATGCTTTCTTACTACAGTGATCTAAAACAGGTCGCTAGTGCATTTTTATGTAGCAAAATCTGTTCGACAGGACGTTTCTCCACAGCAGCCGGACTCACAGTTATTGTAAAGTTGTGGTTTTAGCTTGTTTGAGAATGATAACAATCGTGTTTAACAATAAATTGCGAGCTAAAGTAAGACCCCCTCCTTCTCTTTAAGCGGCGCCATAATTAACAGTACTATAATGTTAAGGCGACAAGTTATTAGATTGGCGCACATTGGTCTTCGATTATCATTTCCCTACTGCTATATATTAGCTTTTATTGCGATGTTTATAAAAAAACTTCTCTATTTTCAAGACTTTTACCACATTAGTCTTAGTGTGTTATGAGAAACGGGGGGATTTTTAACACAACAAAAGAAATGGCAGTGGGGGGTACAAGATCAAAATAATTTTTTAAAGGAATTGCTTAATAGGTTGCTGTGTTATTTAAACCAAAATGATTTCCTGAAGATCAAATTAAAAATTTAGGGAATCCTATCCTGTTCGTCTCCAGAGCACGTCCAGAGCACGTCTAATTGTAGAAATGTTAAACACACCGGCATTACATTAGGAGCCATTGGCACCAACCACACACCAAACGAAGTTATTCTCAAATTAAGAATTAAAAACTTTAAAGCGACTTTTTCTCTCCGTTGCTTTTCTAATTAAGGTGGAAAAAGGACGCACAATACACATCTTAGTAACTTTTTATAGTTACATTTAACATCAAAACATACAACGAGCACATTTATAAGAACATTCGAACACAAACATTACACTGCAGTGCACAATATAAGTTTTGTTCAACTTTCATGGAAAGAAACTTTGTAACAGAGTACCTAATGTCTACGCAATGTTGTCCTGCCATGGCAGACTCCCAATGTCACTGCTGTTATAGTCTTCCAAATAGTGCCTGATAATCTTGCCCTCCCTGGTTATGCGTTGGCCTCCAACACGGTTGGGATCTGCCATCTGCACTGCATCTCTCCAGGCTCCGGACACAGCAATTTGGAAACATTGCTATCATCAACCTCTAGGTCCACATCAGCCAATGCAAGTTGAGGCCTGTGTCTGCACAGAGGGTTGTGTAGTGCCAGACACACTTGTACCACAGTGATGGACCGACGCGGAGACAGCTGCACGAGGCATCTCCAACGATGAGAAAGAATTCCAAATCCATTCTCGACAACCCTTCTAGCCCGTGAAAGCCTGTAATTGAAGACACGTTCCTTGTAAGACACCCCTCGTCTACTGTAGGGCTTCATCATCCATGTGCGCAGAGGAAATGCGTCGTCTCCAACCAGAAACTGTGGTAAGTTCCTGTCATCTCCTGGAAGAGGTTCCGGATCAGGGAATCCTAACCTGTTCGTCTCCAGAGTACGTCTTATTGTAGAAATGTTAAACACACCGGCATCAGATTAGGAGCCATTGGCACCAACCACACACCAAACGAAGTTATTTTCAGCATCAACTATGGCCAGCAGGACAATTCAAAAGAACCCCTTGTAGCTGAAGTACAGATATACACTGTTCTTTGATTTCTTGATTGTCACATGCTTCACATCAATTGCTCTGCACGTGTGATGAAAGTTCCTACGGGAACTGCATTTCCGTGCTACATCGATCCAGCCTCCTGCAGTTGAGGGCACTGTAAAGAGGTCGGCCTTGTATTCCTCATATATTGTTGTGCAAACCTCTGGTATGAACTTGGATATGGTGTTATGAGCCACCCTGAAGCTGAACGCCAGACAGCGGTAGCTTGCTCCTGTTGCCAGGAACTGCAAGGTGATAGCAAATTTCAATCCTGGTCCCAATGGTCTACGACCTCTAAAACGTTAAATGAGGAAAATGATGAAAACATTGTTATGTAACATTGGTATTTAATATTTTAATATATGTATTGAATGTCAGTGCCGTTATTTAATCATTATGTAGTGAAAGTGGGAAATATTTCCATTCACACATTTTGCTCTTGGTTATCCTCGGAGTGACTCGTAGGAAGAGTTCAGCGAACAGGTTTTGTCGACCGTATGCATTTTATCTCCTCAAACATGCTGTTTTTTATACCCTCTCAATAAACATCTCAACACGCACGACTCGCGTAAGGAGGACGAGCAACAAGCGTAGGAGGTCAGCAAGGCTGCGATAGGGCTACTTGCGTTGTCCTTGCGTTACCCGTGCTCTTAGTACGGATAACGTACGTGGTGCACGATGCTTGTACTTTGCATGCACGGAGCGCGTGGAACACGTGCGAAAGCACGTTGGGCGCAGCAGGTGATTCTGCCATGCGAAGGCTGTGCTTCTCACGTACCTGTACTTTCCACGCAATTTATCCCTGCGCACTCCTTGCAATCATCAATTACTTGATTCCTTCCCTGTGATTTAGCTACGTCCTAGCCGGATGCAAGGAACCTTAAAAAACCGTGCGTCCAAAACGTAGTTGGGGCCTAGGCTTTACGGAATATCTGCGCAAATTTTGTACGCAAATAGGCCGTAAGAGACTGTACGGCCGGTGTAACAGTAACCCAAGTCCCCCAGGAACGGAGGTCCTTCGGACCTCGGTTCCTGGTAATGGTTGTCTGTAGGACTAACATTACTTGGGAATAGTAGTCCTACAGGGACTTAGGTTCCTGGCTCATAATTAGAGTAGGTGGGACTTCTATTACTGTCGGGCTTTTATTCCTGTTACACCTATGACAGTAATAAAAGTCCGGACATTTGAAAGTCCTAGCCTTAGCCAATAATACTGTCAAATGATAAAACTATAAATGTATATGAAATCCTTCTGGTGAGCCATATATGAGACAAAAAATGAGAGGTTTGCAACTTCAGCTCGTCTGTGTAGTGGTTAGCGTGCAAGACTACAAGGTAAGAATTCATGAATCCTTCTGTTGTATCTATGGGTTCGAGACCTACCTTTGACATGACCTTACTCCCCCCTTAACCCTGTTTATTACCTGTAGCAAAATGTTTAATGGTGTTTTTAATGTCTAATATGTGTTCGAAATTCCGTGCTCATTACAGTTACAACGATTTTTTGTATTGTCTTTTAAGTGTCAAAGCACCAATATAGCAAAGGGTTATTACATAATATTCTATACATTATATTGCAATTTTCAATTTCTAAACTGTCTTGATTTGTCTTAAATCTCAGCCCATACTTTCCAAGAGCAAATTTCCATCGAGTTTTTTTTTTTTTTTTTTTTTTTTTTTTTTTTTTTTTTTAAATTTAAGCGAGTGTAAACCGAAAAATAAATCTAAGAACGGAGATCCCGCGTTTTGTGTAAAGTGATTTTTCTCTTAGGAATAAGGTTTTGAAAAAGAGAGAGAAAATAAGAATTTCGACGCAAAACACAAAAGGTACACCCCAGTAGAAAAGGACATGAAATAATATACACTTTACACATATTTTGTTTAAAAAAATTGGGCAAACCAGGCTCATACATATTGTGCAATGAGGGAGAAGTACGCCAAAAATATGCGTTAACACGTCAACATTTGCGGTTACTAGATGAAAAATACACATAAAATAAATACATTGTTTTTGTTTCTTCATTAATGTGCATATAAACTGCCTATCGGAAAACATTGTAAAATATAAAGATAAAATGTCATATAAATATAATAAAGCAAACGTTAATTATATCTTTAAAACTAGTATGTCTCTATTTCTATTTATTTATGTCATTTCTTGGTGTAAACTATATAGGACATGCGTTACTAAAGTGTTAGGAACGCACGTCCCATTAGGATGTGCATTACTACACGTAGGACTTACATTACTTGGGAGCCTTCGTCCTACGGACATTGAATCCTAGTAACGTATGTCCTAGGACTTCCATTCCTAGCAATGCATGCCCTAGGACTTGCATTCCCAGGACTTCGTGTCCGGGCGGACTTGCGATACGAGGACGTGCACTCCTGCCACACCGGTTGTTACCGAGGCTTTAGATGCTTAAATACCTACCGAGGCTTTAGATGCTTAAATACCTACCTTATACATGTATGAAACACATTGAAATGCGCTTGCTTGGCATCAAACCTGTTACTTAAGGTATTATTGAGCAGGTGGATGCCTTATGTGAGTACATCATATTACTAAACCACGGATGAGCAGAAAACACCAAGGTCCATCAACTACAAAAGAGCAACAGCTTAAACTATATGTAATATTTTGTGTTACAATCGTAAAGATATTTGTTGCGACCACTACAATGAAACATGTCAGCTCACCTCCTGGTTTGTCACGTTCCCTATGCGTGTGAGATTGTTGAGAGCACATTACTCCAATTTTGATATGAAATATGAATTCTAGATTATATGGAAATCCAATAGTTTAATTCATTTTGAAGTTTTGTTTCTATTATTCTACTGATTAGAAAATAGATATTTGTAAACTAGTGCAAATAGGCGAAACTACTGGTACCCTATTTTATTGTCCTTTTTTTTCGATTTGAGTCCCTGAGAGCGCTAATGAACAGTTTTGTGTACGTATTGATTATAATCATGTGAACTTTTTTTATGTACCAGTTGAAGGTTACACGATAAATTTAGTGTTAAAATACAAGACTGGGTTGGAACGTCCCGTTTTAGTACTTCTGTAAACAACCTGTCTCCCGTGGCGAACTGTCCTTTTGTTCATTTATTTTAAGGGTCACGAGCTAGCTGCACGTTAAACCATTGTCAGTTGTCATTTCATATCATTTACTGTGTCGCGTGGTCAACAATTTAACAAAATATTATTTGGATAAGCATGGTCAACAATTCACCCAACCTCTGTGTCAAAAATAATTGTTTTTAATTGAATTAGAATATTGATTGAGCCCAGAACTGTATTAAATTTGGGAAATTCTTATCTATATGCTTTGAGTCCACACCCTGTGTAACTTTTTTCTTACAGAAGCTGCATTTTCTGAGCAAGACACAACCATAGATGAAAATGACATTGAAATGGCACTGATTGCATCAGGGATCTACGTTCAAAAGTTCAATATGGACCATAATGGTGGCTATGTCCATTTAAAGGAAGTGGGGGTCACACTTGTTGTACCAAGGGGTTCATTTTCTGAAGGCACAGTGATAGAGATGTACCTTGGAGTCAGTTGGAGGCCAGGAGACAGCCCTCATTTAGCTGGCAAGGAGACAAGAACAAGCCCTATTGTGGTATGTGGTCCTCACAACTTGACCTTTAAGAAACCAGTGTATCTGAGTTTTCCACACTGTATTCCACATGTTGATGATGCAGAGACGGAGTTGATGTTCTGGATATCAAAAACTGACCTGCTGGGGACTTGTAAATGGTCAGCTGCAGGGAATGACCTTGTCGTGATCTTCAGCCAAAACAGGTACTAAATTTATGTACTGCTCAAAATTAATTTACAAAATACATGTGTACACTTTCTAACCTTTGAGACGTTTTGCTAAGATATGTATTACAGTTGTAACACATTTCAGAAGGTAGTGAAAATACTAGTACAGGTTTTAAAGGAATATGAGGTATTAGGGGGAAGAGCATTTATAAGTATAACTTGCTCTGTGGTAATTTTTAATTATTAAAAATATTTCAATTAAATTCAGCTTCTACGTACTATTTAGATCAATTTGGCATTGCTGTTTGTGAGTGTCTGCTGGACACAGTTCCATTTGCTTCACTATGCAGGTGCACTGCAGCTTTGTGGAACCTGTGTAAATACACCACTTCATCAAGTAAGAAAAAGATGCTGGCCTCAGTATTTGGCGAGTTTGATTCAGGGACAGAGCTGCTTCAGATTGTAGTGAACTGCATCAGTGATACCCCAGATGAAATAACGGTAATGCTACATGCAAGTGTGAAACAACAATTGTACTACTTTAAATGTTATTTTTATATTATATTAAATGTGGCTCGTTGAGGTTATATATTATGAAAGTTGTGGCATACTCTCTACGAGGGCTGCAATTTTTATTACGAGGATCTTTAGCTGATGCCACCATAGCCTGTGACTTTTGCTAATACATATTCTGATGCATGTATACAGTGTATATGAACATTTATATCTGGACTTTTCTGACAAATAACATGAAAACTGCCATGACACTGCATCTTTATTTATTAAAACTATTATTGTCAATTACAGGTAATACTTTGTGTATTTGTTACAATAAAGAACTGAACAAGTGTCCTTAGATAAAATTAACTTTCCACAAATCATATATGAATATATAAAAACAACTAGATTGATCTACAAAACATTTCTAATATTTAGGTTTCAGTACATAATGTGACATGTTTTGTGTTTGGTCATGATTTAGTTTGGGGGAACTTTCAGGTTCTTGACTGTTGGATGACAAGGAATGGTCTGAAGCGTATAGCGCCTGATGGATACTTTGACCTTTACATCTGTCCGCATAGCGGTGTTGACCAAAGTGATGGTGACCACGACAACGATGAACATGTTGTATGCAAAGATGATCATAATGTACTGGTCACACTAAATGAATATCAAGGATGGGTTTTAAAGGGGAAAGATGAAGATGAAAACAAAAAGGTATTATTAAGAAAAATTGTTGTCATGTAAACATATCAGCAGTGTTTTTACAGATACTCCATTTTTTCAGTCGGAATTTATTAAAATTAGAACATTCCTATTTTAATAAAAGCTGAAGCAACAAAACTAAAAAGCGGTCTACTTTATTGATCTATTGTATACAGAAAAGACGCCGCAAATGCTACACAAAATATTTGTATATATAGACACTGTAAGCAATCTGTCTGCCTATGTTTTCGCCGGCGCTGGCGCGGTCCAACATATGACGTACGTCCCATTACTTTCAAACCATATTTTTGTTTTACTTTGAATTTACTGTGTGGCTTTATTGGGAAAGAGGCAGGCTGCTTTCGAAAACCGGCAAGATCGGTTTGCATTTACGGTAGTTATTCTGGTGTAACTTCCAAAGGCTTATTGTTGTACTTTATATTAACTGAGTGTCTATGTTTGGTAAAGAAGCAGGTTGCTTTTGAAATTTTGCAGGATGGGAGCACTTTTACAGTTATTTGTTTTTTTGCACTACTTTGGCAGTTTATGTGTGCCCCCATAAGTAACAAACCCTAGTAAAGAGATTACTATCTACATTGGCTATGTCCGCTTGTTTCAATTATTTGGTAAATGATTTTTAAATATAAAGGAAATCTTTTTAATAGAAGTAAATGTGTTTTTCAATCAAGGAGCCATGACCTTGTCGCATGGTTTAATAAGATAATAATTCATTAAACCAATGAAATATACAACATATATAATATCAGGAATCTTTTGCCATCTAAAAGCAGGTATGTTATCAATTCTTGCAATCGTCTGCATGGGTGTCACACCTGATGTGGGTACGAGGTGATTAACATAATTTAATGCATCATTTCCTACTCATCTGCATGGGAATGTTGACTATACAAACTACAGAATGACAAGGTCTTACCAGTGTATGTACCTCAAAGTAAGAAATATCACTGAACAGAAAGCAACATTTTGTTTTTTTCAGCAAAATTTTATTTTGAAATATAATGAAATTAAAACAATGCTATAGTCCTTCTTTTGGACCCCTTCTATAATATGAGGCCAACCAGAACTTTGTCACCTGCGCGGCGGAGGGGGTCTTAATACCTCCCGGCCCCAGGACACAACCTGGTTATGGGTCTAATGTACAGCAGGATATTACTAAGGATGTGACATCAGACAGTGCGACATGGGTCTACATACCTAAGTCACAGCTAGGAATGCGACAAGGGTCTATAAACCCAAGTCACAGAACATCCAAAAAAATCATCAATTCCCTTTAATATAATTAATCCTAGTTCAAATGATACTGTGTCGATAGTTTTTTTTTTCTTTGGGGGGGGGGGGGGGTGCACAAATTTGACAACTTATATACTATATTTTGTTTAACTTCAAATTTACTGAGTAAAGTACCCTGTAGGTTTGTTAATCAGTCAAACACTGCATTTTATACACAGATGTCTAACTTGACATGTATGTTCCTAGGGCCAAATGAAAATTTATTTTTATCCATAGACACACACTCTATTTATGCATACATGTACATTGGCATTATTAGCATAAATTATTCTCAGGGACAAAAAGTCCATCAGTAGCCTCCAAAATGTCAAAAATGAGTATCATGTTCATAACTTAGTCCAGTATCAATGGTATATGACAAACATTGTACTGAGATATATTCAAATAGAGGTTATCAATATCCATGGTTTTGCATCTTTCACAGACGTATATCTTGGAAGTCAATTAAAACACCCTGTTTGTCCCTTCAAATCACCTTCTATCACCAAAACAATATCAAAAAATGACTTTTGCACTCCCAAAATAGTAATAGCGATATATAAAACGTATATGTAGGCCAAATGCTTCAAAAATCACCATAAAATAGCAAAAGTATGTCCACTTTCAAAATGACGGGTGGCGGGCATCTTGGATTTAAGGATCAAAATGGCCGCCAATTGTTTCCATAAAATCTAAAACGGGTTCCTTGCCCCTAATTAAGTCAGGTTTGATCATCTATACATGTTTAATTGAAAAAAAAACTGATGGAAATATAAAATATTCTATTTTTTGTGGAACCTAATTTGCGTAATGTATATATATCATATCATGCTAATTAATGCATAATTAAATTGCGTAATATATCATGCTAATTAATGCATTGATAGAGCTTGTCTCTATGGGTAAAACGTTTTCTTTTGGCCCAAGGAAGCTTCATGCGAAGTTAGTTATCTGCACTACAAAATGCAGTTCTTTACTAAATTTTGGACCTTAACAACAGTACTAGTGGCTTTGTTTGATAAAGAGACTGCTTTCTTCTGAAATGATGGAATTATTTTTACTTTAATATATAACTTTTTGCATGTATTTTGTTGATGTTTTTTCTTTTTTGGTGTCTATATATATGCCAGCTTTGCTGTCAAATTTGAATGATTCTAAATTTATGTCTCTGAAAAATTGGTAATTTTCCATTGAAAAATATCGTAATTATTGCATATATCTACAAACATCTTTTCAGTACCAAGATGTTCAACTGCCAAATCATATTTTCATTTTGTTTTGAAATGACGTATTTCTTATACTACAGTATGTAGCACTGTTTGTCTGTGTTTTTTTAAGGATTTCTTTTGAAATTCAGCAGAATTTAATTTTTGACTTACTTATCGAATGTTGGCTTATTCCACGGTTCTTAACAGCATTGTGATATCTACAGGGTCTACTATTGTATCTTTTGTACGGGTTTCTTAATTACATGTGGCTTACTATTTTCATTTTTATTGCACTATCATGGAATGGAATCTTGGAATCTTTTCTTTATAATTATCTCAAATAGTTTACCAATATCCCCTGTTGACTAGTGTTCTAATGCTCAGCTGACTTCGTTTAGAAAAATGGAAGGTTGGCAGGATTGGATTATTTGTACAATTTTCCATATATACAGACACTTTATAACTACCTGATCATGCCTATCCTGATGCCACTGCCATTGCCATCCAAATCTTCAGTCCTAAAAAGGCCAAGTAGTATCTTGCTTTTACTTGACATTTTTAGAGACGTTGTTTTTTAATAAGGCACATTCTTTCTGACATCTGATTAGTTATAAAATATATTGATGTTTTTGCATGTATTAAAGTGTTTTCAAATTGACTTCCATGTAAAATTTCCATAGTTTGGTTGTATAATTTCTTTGAAACTATTCATCCAAAGCTGTTTCCCTTAATAAGACTTTAATCATTTTAGGTGTTGAAATACCAAAGGATGATTGATGACAAGAGACCATATTGTACCTTTGCTTTGAAACGTGAGTGTACAGCAGATATTTTTGAAGGCAAAATATTGGTGGCCCAAACAGGCAACGAGGATAAACTAGAGTTTGAAGTGCACCGTCCATTACATCAGGTTATTACGTTATATTTACTCTCTTAGCCCAGGAGATATGTGTGTGTGCGTGTGTGTGTGAATGTGTGCGTGTATGCTTGCGAGCATGTGTGCTATCTGCAGGAGAGTAAAGGAGAAACCCTATTCACATTGAGTTAATTTTTTCATAATAATACATTAAATTCAGCCGTTGTGTATATGTTAGTATGTGTAAATATGCCCTTTTGCGTCTAGAGTTGTCTTGTCGTTACTTGCTGTGACTCTGATTGGTGTTTTGTTCCTTTGTTCTAAGAGAAGAGAAATCCAACCCCACGATTATTTTGTACATTTCAATAAGACCATCTTATTTACTTAATTGCTCCTTTGTGACTCATCCAAACCATACTGCTTTAGCAAAGATTGAAACACTTTTGATGATACATCTGTAAAAAGTATATAAAATCGATTAGTTTCCTGTAATTTTTTTCATTTTTCTTAAAAAGAACTCTTTGTCTCGCTTTTTTAGCTGTTTGTAGTTTATGTCAATTCAAGGTGTTGCTGATTTCAACCCAAATCAGTGTAAAATTGTCCACTTGCTCAACTAAAGGATTATTGATGTAAACAGGCTGCTAGTCATTCTTATTCATTGTAAATCTACTACCATATCTTTCGTTTTCAACATGCAAACCAAGGTCATTATCCGACCACGGACTGAATATTTCGTCTGAATGTGGTCTCAAACAACCATAAACGAACAGGGCTACAAACATGACAGTAAAACACAGCCCAGAAGCTCACCTGTATCCAAAACCAGTGTATCAGAAAGACTGTAAACAACTANTATTAATTACTTCATGTCACAAAGTTAATTTATACAGGCAAAACTTTATTTTAAGGAAATAGTTTCACGAAATGAACGAGAGTAAAATATTAGTCGGCACAAATATAAGGCATACAACAATGAGTCATGTTATGGATCATGTTATGGGCCATGTCGGATTATAATGGCATACCTTGATGCAAAACAGTCTATCGTTTCTTCCACCGCGAGTCCCTTTATTTAATGTAATGTATTACTCATTACCCGTTTCATTTGACACTCTCTCTTTTTATCTCCCTTCCCCTTTCTCTTGTTAGAAGGAGGGTACATAATTAAGCACTCAAAATCTGCACCACCAATCTTCAGAAAAACAGAAGTCAACGAACCAGTGGGCTGATCCACAACATCTGACACAGCAGAATGAATCAAATAACAGCTAGCACAAATTTATATGCAGTTAGCTATAGTGTCACTACATACATAATCAGCTGCACGCGCGAAGCTGTTGAACAAAAGGATAGTTCGCTACGGGAGACCGTTTGTTTACATAAGTACTCTAAGGGGGCGTGGCTACCCAGGCGACCAAGGGATTAGGCTAGTTACTATATGCCGTCAACAATCGTTTAGCGACCCTATCATTATACACTCTCTCTATTGTATTTTCCACCGCATTAATCGCAGTGTAATCTTCAAATGGTCCACGGGGTAAATGTACACATTCTTAATCCGAGTACGGTATCACAGCCTGCCATCTTTCTAGCAATAATTAAATAAATAAACAAATAAAATCACATAAAAATACTGGACGTTTAAGTCATTTAAGATTTAAAAATAAAGTTTTTTTTTTGCTTTGAATTATTGTAATTGTGGAATTTAGGGAGTGGGGGTTTATCCTCTTTCAAAAGTTCACTTCCAAAATTTTAAAACCGCAATTTACCTATGAACATAATCTGGTAAACTAGCTGGACATGATAATTGCAGGGGTTGATTTAATTGTTAAATTATTATATCATTTGTGTCTTTTTCTCAAACTAGTGCTCTGATAACAAAACAAATCGAAACCCGTTTGAACTAACAGTATGTCTTTAAACTTACAGGACTGATGGATATCAATTGCCATAAAATTTTAATAAAGGTCAAGCTCTAAAATCAGGTTGACCTGACCATTTTCGCAAAAATTATTATTTTTTTTCACCACGCATTATACAGTTCTTAGTTGTTGTTTTTTTTAATCCTTGATTATTCAATGAACGGAAAACAGATATATTATCCCGATAAAATTGAATTAAATATCTATTTAATTCAGTGCAAGTTCAAACATCGGCTTTATAAGATCATTTTGCATATGTTATATTTTTTTTCTTTTTCTCTTCACACCACTAACCGAATTCTTAACGTTCGGCTTTGAATTCCCCATAGCCCGAATTCATATGCTAGTTACATATTCCAAATGTCCATGTTACGGTACCTGTGGTACATAATTAAAATTTGGTGGTGATTATTCTTTTAAGTACACGGTATCATCTTTTCACACCAAAAGTGACACAATATATTTTGCTCACTATCATTGATATTTTCTGTTTTGTGTCTGTATATTTGATGTGCTGCCTTGTAAATTCCTTCAGATTGAAAAGGATCCAGAAGAAACCCAGTTGTCTCAGTCAAGTGCAGGTCCTAGTGGAGAAAACCAGTCACAGATGACCCCACAGCCTCTAGTCCCGAAAGCAGGACCATCCATGTTTCTTATTCAGAACATAGGGCAGCTTCAAATTAATCAGAATGGGGATCAGGAGTTGACGATTCCTGAGCAACCTGCTCCTGTACACGTTTTACAGCGGTATCTGCTTCTGGAGGCAAAGGAAAACTTGGATCAGATTTTTAAGATTCCGCAGGTGTGGGAGACTATTGTACATGTACTTGAGCTTCGGTTGGGAAATGATTGTGTTCCAGATGAACCTGTGGAATTTGTCTTCTGCCATCTGCAGGGTTCCTTTCAACTACTTAAATGGCTATTGAAGAATATTGTGGAGAGAGTGAAGGAAATTGTTGAGCCATCTGTAATGAAGGTGATGATTTCTGAAGTAACAGTAAGTTTATTTTTTCACCCATATAATATGAATCAATATAATTTTCTTTCTGTCTTCCTTTTTTTTTTTTTTTTTTTTTTTTTTTGAGGGGCGAGGGAGTTAAAACAATACGTTTTATGGATGGTAGTGAAACAAAAAGAAGGTGTTTTCTTAGGCAGCCATGTGTTTTCAATAAAACATTTATTTAATTATTTTATATCGAACTATTTTTGATTGTGTTTGGAAATATAAAGTCATAAGACTATTTTTTTTAAGCAGAGTATGTATATATATATTTCAGAAGGCACAGGTCCACGAGGTTGAATGTAAGAATCTGCGAAAACAGCTGTCCTTCATAGCTAATGGAAGATTTGATATTAGGAGACTGTTAGATTTCCTTTTTTCAAAGAGCATCATTAGTGATTCAGGAATGGAAGAAATTTATAGCAAGAAAACATCATCAGAACAGTGCAGTCTATTACTGCATATGGTATTGAAGTGCTCTTTGGATAAGGATCCTGTCAGGCACCTGCGGGAGGGGTTTGCTGAAATAGACCGACTTGATCTGGTAGAACTTCTGGTAGTGAAACCTGAGGACGTACAGGATTCATATATCCCAGATGAAGCCCTGAGACCTGGTGAATAGCAGAATGAACAACTGTTACTTAGACAAACTTAAGAGTCCTAAAGTAGCTGCATAGTATTTTTAGACATTTGTGATAAAGTCACTTACTTTAGCGAGAGTTGAACCCTTAAGGAAATTCCCTATATATTGTCCTATAGAAAATTGTCCCGATATCCCAGGATAAGTTTTCCATAGCATATATTATAGGAACTCGTGTAAGGGAAAGTCTAAATTTCAGAATATTTTGGTGTTGTGGTGCTGTATTGAGGCCCTTGATCCAGACCACTGCTGCTTGCATTTTCAGGATATTTTTAAACGTCCACTTTCAACTCTGATAGGCAGGGTTTTGAAAAAAAAATTGAGATCACATATTTCACTTAATTATTATTGATAGTATTTTGCTTTAGAAGGTCATTAACACAAGTTGGGTTCTTCGAACTTTTTGTTTATAAAACTAATACATATATTTATTTTATTTTTTAATTATTTTGAGGGAAAGGGGAAGGTGCATGGCAATGACCACTTTGATCGATATATATATATATATATATATATATATATATATATATATATATATATATATATATATATATACTTGACATTTAGTATGGAATATTTTTTCCAAGTAATTTTTTATCAGTTTTTTTCCTATTTTGCTGACTGATAAATGAAAATAAGGATTAAAATTGTGTTTTAATAACTTTAAATTATCTCTTTGAGGTCATTGTGACATCAATTCATTAATGGAATTCGTCAGAGAAGCAAACAAAAACACATTGCCTATTCTATGTCATACGACTTCCCTTTAAAAAGATATTTTGGATCTCCATATTTTCCAAATTATCGTCTGTAAAAGAGTTATACGCTCCACAAAAGACCCTCAAGTCAGTTGCTAGTCACAGTAATGGTCGCTGTTACGCCTGGCCTCTTCTGGCTGTTGCCAGCGCTCTCAAGCGGCAAGGCATTCCTTGGGGTAGGTTTTTAGAGTTCAATCTGGAATAATATTCCAGGCATCGGTCTGAAATTGTCCAATTTGGTCCAGTTTTGTTGTAGGACATGTAGACAGTTGATTCGGCGAGTAATGGCCTACGAAATATTGTCTATGTGGTTTAAATGTGTCGATTTTGATGACCAGGGTAGCTGCTCATTCCCTTGGTTCTGTAAGTTATCTGCTATTAAAAGTGCTCTGTGTGAACCGGCAACCTCACCGTGCAACCTAAAATTATTCCTAAGGTGCCCCCTATCAAATGATAGTCAAGTGGTTCCGAGATTATTCCTTAATTTGATCTGGTTCAGGTTTTCGTCGATGACTACCATTGGTGTTTTGGCACCAATGTGGCACTCCAAATACTGACGCTGTCAATCACCCTTGTCACTTTAGATCTGGCATATGCTTCGTCGTAGGCCTCTTCTGGATATCTGTAAACTCTGTTTTGACTAATTGGGCGGTACAGGTAAAATCTGACCTCAATAAAGAAAGCCATGCAGTTTCAGTGTTCTACCCAGAAACGGTCATGGCCCCCAATTAATTAGAGAAACTGACAACGATGTTTTGCTGTTTACAGTGGGTGTCTCGGAGGTCGTTTGGTGTTCTTAGCTGTTAAAACCAGTTTGGTGTTCGCTTAGGGCTTTGAAAAACGCATTTTGGTGGCAATTTACCCCTCGTTCTGAACTGACTAAGTGTTTTTCGTTTAGTTGCAGCAGCGTATCCCGAAAGAAGGTGGGTCCTGTACCCTGTAGGTAAGATTTTGATACATTGGGGGTGACCTCTGTGTAGGTACATCAGTCTGGGCATTACTCTATAAAACTGTTGGGACCGTTCCGTTTGGCGCTATGATCTGTCTGGTAATGTCTGTCTTTTTCGCGCCATTCTGCCATAGATTAACAAATTTGTAATGCACTACTTGACTCATCTACATAACGTAGCAGCGCAACAGACATGAATGTCAGTTAATTGGTAGCGACATACCTGACTACACACTTCTCCATTCACAAATCTTATATGAAATCGGAATTTTTTGAAAAAAAGAACGCATTTTTACCTAGGCATACCTTCGAAACTGAAATATTCCATATTAAATGTCAAGTCTGTATATATATATATATATATATATATATATATATATATATATATATATATATATATATATATATTCCAAATGGGTGTAAGAATAAGTTCATTAGGAGTGTTTTCTTTGTTTGTATGTGACTTCATTTTTAATTTTGCGCTGACTGTCTAACGATTGAATATACAGACTTGACATTTAATATGGAATATTTCAGTTTGAAGGTATGCCTAGGTAAAAATGAGTTAAAAAAATGAGTTTAAAAAAACTCTGATCTCAAATAAGATATGTGAATGGAGAAGTGTGTAGTCAGGTGTGTCGCTACCAATTAACTGAATACCAGGTTTGTTGCGCTGCTGAATTATGTAATATGCAGTGATTTCATTGGGTAGTGGTCCTTTGGGCAGGTCAAAGCTTGGCTTTGGCAAAGCATGGTTCTGTAAAAAAGTATCCAAATGTCGGCAACTACTGCATAGAAAATTTTGAAATTTTGCATGCAAGTGGTCGGTTTTGCAGTTTGTAAAATGAGCTATGCAGTATTCTACAAATTTGTTAATCTGTGTCAGAATGGCGCGAAAAAGACAGACATTGCCAGGCAGATAATTGCGCCAAACGAAACGGTCAGCACAATTTTATAAAGTAATGCCCAGACTGATGTTCCTACACACAGGACACACCCAATGTATTGAAATCTTACCACCAGGGTACAAGACCCACTATCTTTCGGGGAATGCTGTTGCAACTAAACAAAAACCACCATGTCCGTTCAGAATGAGGAGTAAATTGCCACCAAATCGCTTTTTTAAGGCCCTTAGCGAACACCAAACTGGTTTTAGCAGATTAGAATATCAGACGACCTCCGAGGAACCCAATGTAAACAGCAAAACATCGTTGTATGTTTCTCTAATGAATTGGGGACCTTGACAGTTTCTAAGTTGAACACTGAAACCTAGTGGCTTTCGGTATTGAGGTCAGATTTCACCGGTACCGCTCAACTAGTCAAAACAGAGTTTACAGACATCCAGTAGAGTCCAACGAGGAAGCGTGTGCTGCGTCTAAAGTGACTTAGGTCATTAACAGCGTCACTATTTGGGGTGGATACAACATTGGTGCCAAAACACTAATGGTAGTCATCGACGAAAACCTGAACCAAATCAAATAAAGGAATAATCTGGGAACCACTTGACTATCATTTGATAGGGGGCAACTTAGGAATAATTTTAGGTTGCACGGTAAGATTGCCGGTTCACACAGAGCACTTTTAATAGCAGATAACTTACAGAACCAAGGGAATGAGCAGCTACCTTGGTCATCAAAATCGCCATATTTGAACCACATAGACAATATATGGGTAAGCCATTACTCGCCAAATCAATGGCCTACATGTCCTACAACAAAACTGGACCAAATTGGACAGATTTTGACCTATGCCTGGAATGTTATTCCAGATTGAACTCTAAAAACCTACCCCAAGGAATGCTTTGCCACTTGCGAGCGCTGGTAGCAGCCAGAAGAGATCAGGCGTAACAACGACCGTTACTTGTGACTAGACACTGACATAAGGGTCCTTTGTGGAGCGTGTAACACTTTTACAGACAATAATTTGGAAAATATGGAGATCCAAAATATCTCTTTTAATGGTTGTCGTATGACATAGAATAGGCAATGTGTTTTTGTTTGTTTTTCTGGCGAATTCTATTAATGAACTGATGTCACAATGACATCAAAGAGAAATAAAAGTTATTAAAACGCGATTTTAATCCTTATTTTCATTTATCAGCCAGCAAAATAGGAAAAAACTGATGAAAAATAATTTGGAAAAAAATATTCCATATTAAATGTCAAGTCTGTATTTGGATGATATATGCTTGTAGGCAACAGAATGCATTAAACGGCCCTCTGATACTCCATTAAAGTCCATAACTCCCCAGGCTTTGCCCCTGATTGTGATATGACTGTCAAATAACAAGTTTTCTGGATGTAAAATCTCCATCTGTTTATATTTTAGAAACTGAGTCCATGGACCCCTCTGTCCTTGGCAGTGACCAGATGATGACCGACAATTTGTCCAGAGAATTATCTGAAGAAACTACTGTCAAAGGGATTGTAGAAGGTAACCAGTATTCTTTAGATAACCTAGAGTTCTTTTTCAAGTGATACGGTGACTGTTCGGTACGTGTATGCCAATGGTAGAGACGGACGTTTTATGCATGTCTTATTGAGGTTTACGTAAGCCCACTACTCTCATTGATCATCTTTTAAAGGTACATACAAGCCGAGCATCGGTGGTGCGTGGATTCCCAGTAACACATATAAACCACTTCTACTAGTTTCTAATACGACTCTAATAAATTCGACATGCCAAGGGATAAACTGAATAAATCACCGGATCAGCCATAAAAGAGCTTTAGAGTGCTCCTTTCTTTAAATTTTTGGTTGTCAATTTAACCTACTTTCGTGACCTACTTTTCTGCCCCATTGACATACAGCATAGAATGCTAATAAAAAAATCTGTTCAAACATCGCTTTCGAGTACAATTAAACAATTTATTTTGGTAATTCTCTTAGTTATACTACTTGAAACTATATGCTGGCATTTGGTTGGTTTTTATGTCAAAAAATTCACTTTGTATCTTTAAAAGCACTAGTGGAGGAGCGGAATTTAATGTGTTGTTTGATAGTTACATGTTCAGGAAGAAATGTCTAAGGTGTTTGATGTTATACTGTACATCTTCTGGGTTAAGGTGGTTTGAGTTTAACCCATTATCGCGTATAAATTTAGTTTGACTTGCTATGATTTTTTTTTCTTATAGGCGCTGCCGATTTGGTATTTAATACCGCAAGCGTTGTGAAAGACAAATGTGTCAAACAAACAATGGGCAATGGGCAGGAATCAACATCACATGATATGTGTATATATATTTTATTTTTGATGATGATGTTTTTTGTTTTATTTTGCATATTGAAATATACAAGATTTATTGAATTTTTTATTCTCATATTTTAAAAACCTCGCAGATGTCCACATGTGGTAGCTATGTACATGGAGTAGATTGATTAAAAATTCAAGTAAATGACCAGTCCCAGAAGGGGAGAAAATATTTTCGGTGTCACACGCCTTTTACCTTTATATACAGTACAGATGTATGTATCAGGAGAGACAGAAATGGCGATAGAAAAAGGGTGAGGCGATAAACTTTATTTCTAAGCTTACAGTACATGTATAATACCTAATAGCTAAGCCAGTACATAAGGCGAATGCTGCTTGTACCTCAGTGGTCGCGTTTAACATTAAGATAAGGTTTCGTACTTGTACATGCAAGGACAGCCCAATGACGTCATTTTAAATCATGTCCATAGTGATTGTAGTGCATAAAGTGAACTAGATTGTTTTTAAGCACAAAACTGAAATATATCATTATATTTGCACTGTCATATGTATTTCTTAAATATTTAGTGTTACTCACTATTTTATAGAATTTTATT